GCTGTAAATTAAATGCTGAATGGCGGTTCATGCAAGGAAAGAACATATCAATATTCGCATATTCATTCAAAAACATGAAAATTCTTAATGGAGTACCCTCATTTTTTATTGAATTCCTAAAAAACAATATTTATAATGAATTTTAATAATTTTTTCGAATTTTTTTTAGGCTTTATTATGACCGATTCACTCGATTCCCGATCCGGATCGGTTTTTTGGAAGCCTCATCCGAGTCACCGATCCGTTTTTTAAACCATTGGGCTAGACTATAAAAACGTATTATAACAACAGAAAAAATACAGAAAACCATGACTAAATGTATAAAAAAAAAATTCAGACTGGCTCAAGGCTGGCCACTCCCAAAACCGAAAACTATTTGGTCTTGACAGGCCCGGTCCAGGCCATCCTGGCAGACCTTATATCTCGGGCCCAAACAGAGTCGAAAAGCTGGCCCAACCCAATTACCCAAAGGTTGACCCAACCCCTTGCAACCTTACCCCCCTCTGTCTCTCTCACATACAAACCCTAATGCAAAATCTCTATCTTTTTCTATCTAAATTTACAAGATCATCATCGTTATAGCCTTATCTCAACTATTTCGACCACTCTAAATTTACAACCATATACATATCATACATGCAGGCAATCAAGGAGAGGAGACTATACATTCTGGACCACCACGATACTCTCATGCCATTTTTGAGACGCATAAACGCCCTCGGAGGGCTCTGCATTTACGCGTCTCGCACCCTTCTCTTTCTGAGAAATGATGCAGCTTTGAAGCCCGTGGCAATCGAGCTCAGTCTTCCATTAAATGATGAAGATCAAGGTTCCCGAGAGGACAATTTATCAGATGAAGGATGGTGGGACGACAAAAGAGTCTTCTTTCCTGCAACGAGTGGCACTGAGAGAGCCCTCTGGCAACTCGCCAAAGCCCATGTAGCCATTAATGACTCGGGCCACCATCAACTTATAAGTCACTGGTATCCCCCTCCTCTCTCTCTCTCTAGAACTCATTCATCCAAAGATAAAAATGACAGAGAAAACAGATACCTAAAGCTTCACTGGTACTTCCAAGACTCACTCTCTCTCTCTCCCTAAATGATTGAGAAAACCGATCTCTAAGGCCACATTACTACTTCCAATTCTCTCTCTAGAACTCATTCATTCAAAGATAATAGAGAAAAAAGATGCCTAAAGCCCATACCACTACTTCCAAATCTCTCTCTCTCTGTCTCCCTCTCCAACTAGAACTCGTTTATACAAAGATCTATAAAAAAGATACAAGTCTCTCTCACACACTGTTCAAAAATTGAACTGGCCCCAGAAACTGGTCAATGGCTGGTTCCGAGTAACTGATAAGCCAGCAGGTTCAACAGGTCGTAATTGGTTCAAAAAGTGTTAAAAAAAATAAAATCTAAAAGAACATGAAAAGTTTGATTAAACAAAGTTGAACGAGTTAATATATATATATATATTTAAATATTATATTTAATATATACATGTATTATTTATATATTATAACTAAAATTATATATTTATATGTATTTAAATATTATATATCAAAATTATTTAAATATTAGGGTTCGGGTCGGATCCACATGGACTCCGGACCTGACCCGATCCGACCCGCCGGGTCCAAGTTTTAAACCTATACCCGGACTTGGGTTGGGTCCGATCATCGGTTCCCAGGTCGGGTCCGGGTTCATTGCCACCCCTACTCAACTTTATATTTCACTAGAACTCATTCATCTAAAGACAGATAAAAACCGAACATCTACAACCCCAGTAGAGTATCCAACACTCCCTTTCGCACAACTAGGAGCTGGCAATGGGCCTGGCTGCCCCTCCCAGCCCCGCTGGCCGGCCAGCATGGTATCTAAAAAACTTCATCCTGGGCCACAAAATTTGGCCCGAGGCTTGGGCCAGGGCCAGGATACCACGGCTTAAGGGCTGGGTCAGGCCAGGCTGACCGAGGGCCACAACAAGGTTGGCCTGGTTTGGCCAGGCCTGACCCTTTTTTCTTTTAACTTTTTAAATGGCACTTGACCTGGCTCGTCCGAACAGGACCTAGGCCAGGGCCTCTTTGGCCCAGTACTGGCAGCCCCGGCCCAGGCCAGCCCTTTTCCATCCCTATGCAGAGCACAATCAAATGGAAGATATGGTCTCTACAATTTTATGAGGAACATGTCCAAATAGAGATATGGTTAATCTCCATCCATTACCTAGAATGGACAGTGAATGCCCAGGTGTTACATACGCACCATGATATAGTTTCCTTATTTCGCATTCTTAATCTCCACCATCATCACCAAGAACAGACAATGGATGTTACGCAGGGCCATAGGCATATCATAACATACAACTATGGTGCATGATGTTCTTCCCTCATCATAATAAACCCATTATGGTTAATCTCTGCCATCTATAATTAATATGGAGGGTGGATGTATACAACTCGTTTAGGGTGTGTTTTCCCTTATCAGAATTTGAATGATTGATTATTTGTTCAGGCTACATACTCATGCAGTGGTGGAGCCGTTCATCATAGCAACTCGACGGCAGCTGAGCTCCATGCACCCTGTGCACAAGCTGCTTCACCCTCACTTCAAGGACACCATGCACATAAATGCGCTTGCCCGTGGCATTCTCTTAAATGCCGGGGGGATCTTTGAGAAGACCATGTTCCCCGGCAAGTATGCATTGGAGCTCTCTTCTGCGATCTATAAAGACTGGCGGTTCGACGAACAGGCCCTCCCGAAAGATCTTCTCAAGAGGTCATGTCTTTCTCTCTCGGTTTCCTCTTAATTAATTCCTTCCATAAGTTCTAAAATTGATTTATGTATGGGTGCTTATATAAATAAAATTGTTTATCTTTTGTAAAAAAAGTTCTAATCATCTCTAGCGATCAGATGTAAAATTAAAAAAAAAAACTACTATTCACCATGCTTACGGTCCTGAAAATTTTTTATGCCCTTTGTGTGAAGTAATGACACACCCCATTTAGGATAATGATGTAGAAAAACATCTCTCCAAATAGAATGATATTAGGGGTATTTGTTTAGGTGCATGCAATGCACATTCCAATGAAAAATCTGAAATAGAAAACCCTAAAATGGTTCTTTGAATAGAGAGAAAATTGGATTAATAATAAGCATCTATAGATATCAATGCTGTGTGTGTGTGTCCTATTTTTGAATTCATGCCTGCCAACCAATCCTAACTCTATATATTGGACCTAACTTTTTATGAAAATCATGGTGCAAACCTTGTGAACAGTTGTAGCATATTAAATCCACTGAAATGTTTCAACTATTCATCCAAAGCAAATACACACAAACACACCACAGAACCATTGTCACAGTTTTTGGCCTTTAACAGTTTCACTGAATTAATAATTGCAGAAAAATGGCAGTACCAGACCTTGATGCACCAAGCGGAGTACGACTAGTATTCACAGATTACCCTTACGCCTTAGATGGTCTCGACATATGGTGCGCCATAAAGAAATGGGTCCATAAATACTGCTCAATCTTTTACCGAAACGATGTTTCTGTAAGAAACGACTCCGAAATTCAAGAATGGTGGTTTGAGATCAGGCAAGTGGGTCATGGGGACAAGAGAAATGAGAATTGGTGGTTCAAAATGGACAACCTCTCCGAGCTCGAAGAGGCCCTGACCATAATAATATGGATCGCTTCCGCGCTCCACGCCTCAGTCAACTTTGGCCAATACGGGTACGCCGGATACATGCCAAATAGGCCATCATTAGGCCGGAGGTTCATACCTGATGAGGGCACTCCTGAATTCGCCGAATTTTTGAGGAATCCAGATGCATTTTTCCTAAAGACGGTGCCAAACCGGTTCCAAACCACACTAGGCATTGCATTGATAGAAATCCTTTCCAAGCATGCATCAGATGAGGTTTATTTGGGACAAAGGGAATCCGAGGAGTGGACTGATAACGAGCAAGTGATCGGAGCATTTCAGGAATTTCAAAGAGAGCTACAACAGATTGAGAAGAAGATTATCGAGAGGAATCAAGATCTGAAATTGAAGAACAGGAGTGGTCCACGAGTGATCCCTTACACTCTCTTGTATCCTGATACTTCTAATGTGAGTAAAAAAGGGGGCCTCACAGGTAAAGGAGTACCCAACAGTGTGTCTATCTAGTTCTTTGTTAATCCATAAAGCTGTGTATTATATTCTTGTCTCTTTTTTTTTTTTTTTCAAGAGTTGTTACTTCACTAAAGCTCAATTGGGGGGCTGCTAAGTAATGTGAAGGTCCATATTTAAGACAATGTAATATAATTCGATGCGGTGTGATCGCTGATATTGAATGTATTTTTATAAATATTTCAACTGCAAACTTGCCAAACAAAACAAAGGAAATATAATCCCAAAGTGATTCGGATTTCGGGCATTAATGGCTGATATTGATTGTAGTTTCCCCGCCAAACAAAACCAGTACTTACGGACTTGGCAGAGTTACCATAGGCTCACGCCTGAGGAGATTTCCAGTGCTGAACTCGTCCTCGTTGGAAACTCTTAAAAAGATCATAAAAATTTGTTTAAAAATTACTAATCCATAATTTAGGGATACATCTTTGCATGATTTTTTTTTAGTTCTTGTGATGATTGGAAAACGTACTTATAACATGCTCAGATTTTTTTGTTTTTTCCTTTTTAAAATATCCTAAAATGTTTCAATGTATAATTGGTGTTGTGAAGGTGCAATTGGGAATCAGTTAATATTTGAAAGAGAGAGCACTTTCTCTGTGGTCCTTTTCTATCACAAAATAAAGACAAATTTTTCATAACATTAAAAACCAACAAGGCAAAAACTGTTACACTGTTACATATTTTTGTAAAAGTACTTTCATTTAAATTTATACACAAAAGATAGAACTTTTAGTTGTAATTGGGGCTATATCATTAGGCAGAAATGTGACAGAAGACAACATCGGATTTGAAAAAAATTGAGATTTATTGGAAGATAAGAGTTATTAATTGCAAAGCAATAACAACTTATTTCTTATTACTCTATTAATAGATTAATCATAATTTTTTTAAAAAATATATACATTATTTCCAAAAGAAAAATGTTAAAATAAGGTTGGGCCTTAAGAAACCTCTCTCAACAAATTTCACCTTCCATCTTCTTTTCTCATCGCACAATCAAAGCTTCCTTCTCTCTCTCTCATTGTTCTCTCCCTCTCTCTCCTTGTACTTCTCCTCTTGTTGCACAATCAAAACCTCACCTCTCTCTCGCATTCAGCTATCAAAATTTCCTCTTTCTATCTCTCTCTAGCTTCTCCCCTTTGTGCATAATCAAAACCTCATCTCTCTCATTTTCCTCATCTCTCTCATTTTCTCTCCTTGTTATGTTGGAAATAGAGTAAAGAGCTAGAAAACAAATGGTGTTTCAATCTCTCTAATCCTAGGCACGATAGAGTGCCTTCTCAACACAATATTTATAGTCTATTTGCGT